CAGATTCACTCTCTGACAGCAGGTGGCGCTTATGGAACAGCAGCCATACAACGTTGCCTTGGTTACCACTGTAAACAAAGCAGCGCAACGCTTATGAACGCTGCTTTAATATGAATTGTACAGAGATGAGATGAAAAGAAAATAGCCTATCATCTAAACTTTTCTAAAGACAGTCAGTTCCCCTCAGAGATACATTCATATAAACTCCTACCCCAAATGTATCGCGATTCGTTTAACATCTCAACCGATTTGAATCGTCACATATTTGTATCGATTTTCAACCGACTCACGGTGAATCGTTACATCCCTACCAATAAAGGATCAGGAATATTTTGAATTAGTTGTTTAACCATCATACAAAACATACATTTGTGTAATTGGATGTCTGAGTCAAAATGTTATATTTAGTTAGAGTTAGACCCTAGAGTTAGGCCACAACAAAGTTTCATTCTTTCTTTCTTTCTTTCTTTCTTGTTCTTCTCCTATTTGTTGACTTACTATTAGAAATGTTGGACAAATTAAAGGAAGTTGGCTTGTTTGAGACAGGAAGTAAACTGGTGCATAAGAAGGGTCTTCCTCTTTCATGTCTGCAAACTTTCTGACCCCCACTTTCCCTTACTGTCATTCTCTCTCCCCATTCCCCTTTCAGTGGGTCTACTGCGAGTTGAATTTTCTGAGCCGGTAAATCTGGATATGGTGCGTAAAGGCAATCCACAGCTGGTGATGGGTGGCAGGTATAAACCCAGCGATTGTTTGGCTCTGCAAAAAGTGGCAATAATCATCCCATTCAGAAACAGAGGTGAACACCTGAAGTACTGGCTCCACTACCTTCACCCCATCCTACAGAGACAACAGCTGGATTATGGGATTTATGTCATACAACAGGTACAGCACAAAACTATTTATTAACTTTACTCCATCCTACACAGTTGACAGAGCAGGGTGGAGAAGAGATATCCGGATCTCAAATACACTCACTAGTTTGCACACAAATCAAGACATATACCAGTGAGCTGAAATCCACACCTGGGGCCTCATTTATAAAATGTTGCATATAAACCATCCTAAATTTGTTCTAAGATCATTTCTCAAAAGTGCGTAAGTGCGATTCAGAGGAAACGAACATGCGCACAAAAACACGTGCGTACGCCTCTCTTCCAGATGTGACATTTATAAATCGCAAATGATCTTGAAATTGTGTGCAGCTGACTGGTGTCAGATCTCCGCCTTGTAAACACCCCCTAATTAATATTATTACCATTTAAAAGAGCACACGCCAATATCCGAATTTCTATGCTTGAGAATGACGAGCACAAAGAGAAAAAATACAACTTTACTGAGTCTGAAATTGAGGTTTGCCCCTGTTCGTTTGCGGAAGGCGGCAACATGGAATAAACTGTGTACAGAAAGCGAGTAAAGAACTCTCAACATTAGGCTACTAAAAAGGTCAGTTTAATCTCGCAAAAACTCCCGTTAATAAAAAATCTGACTATACTCCACACAATTAATCTCTTACGCTGCATCTTTGTTGTTTATGATGAATTCGGTGCTTGCACGTACACCGCTTTTATTATTATTGCAGCTTAGATGTTCAAATAGCTGCAGTACTCCGACTTTGCCACAAGGAAAAGTGTGTACGCCTGCTCAGACCCTG